TGGAGGGACTATGCAGTCTGCAGTAATTTTAGAGACCACGGTTCCCTGGAGTCCTCTTTCTAAGCATTCCCATTCTTGTGAAGTGTATTGTGCATTTCTCTGTGTGGGTATCAAAGTGAAGTGTATTGGAAACTGATCTCCAAGGAGCTCTAGATCAGCACTTCATAAACTGGAAGTGTAGTAGATATAATTTAGCTATTCATATGCCAAATACAAAGTATTGGTCAAGTGTGGATAAAGCCATAGAAGGTGACACACCTCGGCCCAGAAAATCATGCAGGGGAATGAGAGTCATGTGAAAGCTTAATGTCGCTGTAAAAAAAGAAGGATCCTTCTGTGTATGTTCAGCAACAGCCTGAAAAATAGCTCTAGTCTTCCAGAAGAAAACCAGTACAGGAAGGGGAGCATAGCAACGGTTTTTCCTACTTCACAAGCCAAAGTTACATGAGAATTTCACCTTTAAGCAGTAACTTTTCTCATGACACTTTGAGATATGTTACAAAACGTTTGTGCTTTGTGGGTTTGTTTCAGTGTAGAAAACCCCTGAAAAATCACTTGAATAACCAGTAATATTTGACAGATGTAGAAGTGGCGTACGTACGTGGGTAATCCTAATGTTTGGGTGAAATCCTGTTCCCAACTACTTACGTGTCATCTTAATCATTTTGTATGGACAGGGTGTCTTCAGTACCTGTGAAGACTCTCTTCTCAAAAACTTGCTCTAGGAATGCTGCACTGCTTATGGTGTTCTTATGACTTAAAACATGAACCTGGCAGCCAGGAGACGTGCCCAGATCCTGGCTTTACTCCAGCTGCACACCAGTCAGCTCTGCTGGCTGTCAGCTGCCGATGCTCGTGGCTGGTGAAGCTCTGTTCTCTGATATTTGAAAACATATGTTTTCGTCTTTATTAAATCTGCTGATTGAGAGTTAGTAATGCTGTCATGTTTCTTTGCTCATCTTAATTCAAAAGCTTCTTCCATGTTGTTCTAGTTTTAATTTGTGTAGTTGTTTTACCTTCATGTAGCAGCTTCCAGTCTTGCTGGGGAAGTCCTTTGGATTTTTTTGCATTGCTCTTGCTTTTTGTCAGGAGTTGCAGGACTCTTGGTTTCGTGGTTTGTTTGTTTGTTTTTTTTAAATTTTAATTCTTCATTGCAGAAGTAGTACATGGTAAACCATATTCCTTATGATGCCTTTTTTTTTTTTGACCGTTAAGAATTCATATGTCCTTTTTGACCTTTCCATTTCCCAAGAGTATAGAGGCTATTATAGGGGTAGTGATATGTGTGTATGCTTGCTGGGGGCTTTTTTGCTGATGTTTAACAGTATACAGTAATAAAGTAAGCTCACATTGTTCACAACCCAAATAATGTCAAACAAAACACCTTTTACGTAGGAAGATAAGCAGGAGCTGATCTACATCTCACGCCTTCTCTTGAATCCTAAGCCTATTACTCCATGGGCAGATCCACAGAGAGGAAAACCGACCAGTCTTTTAAACATATATGGAATAAGGCACAAACCAACTTTTAATTAATCTCTTAGTTTAAGGCAAATACCTGCTTGAGAAATGGAATTAGAGTAGAATAGTAGAGGAATATGGGGAATCTTGAGCATGTGTCTTATGAATGGCACTTTCTGAAGAGACTCTGCAAGGAAGGTCGCTACAGCCTTTTCCACATAGCTTGAAAGACTTTGTTAAATCGTCAGCAAAGACAAGATAAAGCACTTTACCCTGTCTCTGATTTGTCGTCTTTACTTGCTATTGTTGAACTGTCATGCAACAATGTCAGTTAGGTTTGGGGTTTTTTTTGCATGTAATTGCGGAAAGACATTGTAGAGTTCCTTTATAAACTTAAACTAGGCCAGGTGAATACAAATCAAATATTCTTCAATAAGGAGTGCTATTGAACCTGGTCAGCACTGGGATTTTATCTGTTAACAGAAATGGAGTTCTTTATGGAATATTGACTAGTCTTTTTATGAGATTAGCAGTTTTCCGATGAGGACATTATTAACATAAGCCGTGAATAAAGGTGTGTTATATATCCAAAAAGAAAATCGTAATATGATAGTGTAATTCGGTGATCGGTTTTCTTAAGGAGCACATCAGTTCTTTGTTACTCATTCACCATTTTGCAGCAGTTTTGCATTCGAGTAGATCTTCAATTTTACATGAGGTATGGCAGAAGAGGTCTACTTACATTTTAAAATATTGATAGAGATGGGGCATGCAAAATTCTTACAATTCTCAAAACATGGTTTAAAAGAATATCATCTTGTTTTGCTGTTTGAACAGGTAAAACAGCTCAGCATGGTAATTTTGTGGATAGGAAGAAGCAATTAACTAGTGAAGGCAGAAATTTCCTAGCTATTTGAATGTATCGTGTTGATGAAATGTGATGAATTAGGGCTAATGATAATTATAATAAACTTGCGCAGTAAAATCATGAGTATTAGAAGTCTGCTGACTCCTATACTCATTCTTCAAATGGAATTTTCAAGTAACTATTTTGTTCATAGTTTTGAGATTTTTGTTGTTTTTAAGGAAATAGTAAGTTTGCCTCTGTTTTTAGATTGCTTCTATTTGGCTTTGAGAAATGGTTTTCTTCTTTTCCGGATAAGAAAAAGTGGACAGAATATATGACTCTGTACTTTGACATAAAAAAAACTTTATAGAGCTTTCTTGAAGTTCTTTAGTACTGGGAGCTCACTCTAGCCTCTTCAAATGCGTGAATTTTACAATAATGGGTATGATGGGTTTGACCTTTGCTGGATGTCAGGTGCCCACCAAAGCCGCTTTCTCACTCCCCCTCCTCAACTGGGCAGGGGAGAGTAAAATATAATGAAAGGCTCATGGGTCAAGATAAGGACAGGGAGAGATTGCTCACCAGTTACCATCATGGGCAAAACAGACTTGACTTGAAATGAATTTCGTTTATTACCAATCAGATCAGAGTAGGGCAATGAGAAATAAAATCAAATCTTAAGAGTGCCTTCCCCCCACCCCTCACTTTTTCCCGGACTCAACTTCACTCCCAATTTTCTCCTCCTTCTCCCCCTGAGCAGTGCAGGGGGATGGGGAGTGGGGGTTGTGGTCAGTTCATCACACATTGTCTCCACTGCTCCTTTCTCCTTGGGGGAGGACTCTTCACCCTCTGCCCCTGCTCCAGCGTGGGATACCTGCCACGGGAGACAGTTCTTCATGAACTTCTCCAGCGTGGGCCCTTCCCATGGGGTGCAGTCCTTCAGGAACAGGCTGTTCCTGCGTGGGTCCCCACGGGGTCACAAGTCCTGCCAGCAAACCTGCTCCAGTGTGGGCTCTCCACGTGGTCACAACCTCCTCCGGGCATCCCTTTGCTCCGGCGTGGGGTCCTCCCTGGGCTGCAGGTGGGTCTCTGCTCCCTTGTGGGCCTCCATGGGCTGCAGGGGCACAGCCTGTCTCACCATGGTCTGCTGCAGGGGAACCTCTGCTCCAGCGCCTGGAGCACCTCCTGCCCCTCCTTCTGCACTGACCGTGGGGTCTGCAGGGTTGGTGCTCTCACATAGTCTGACTCCTCTCTTCTGGCTACTGTTGCACAGTGTTTTTTACCCTTCTTTAGTATTCTGTCCCACCACTGTCGCAGGTAACTGTGGTAACTGTGCAATGAGTTGTGTTGATTGACTTGTATTTTTCTTTGGTGTACATTTTTAATGTTCGTTTTAAAGCCATAGATTTAAAGAAAGAAGAAAAATAATTTCACCCCTTTAAGCTACAGGTTTTGACACATTCAGAGTCTTTTCTACTGGCTGTCGTGCTGATGTGATTACGTAGCAATACTTACTCCCTGTGAGCTGGATAGTAATGGAAATATATTTCATCATCTTCTCAATAATCCGTATTAAGCATGCTGGTTATGTTACGAAGCAGTAAGTTCCCGGTTCCCTTGAATGCGACATCACAATATGAGAATCCAGGGTCAGTAACTTTGGTCTTGAATTTTTCATATCCTAAAATGATGATATTGTTGTAATGGTGTGAGTTCCTGAAAAAGGTGTTGTGGAAAGTTCATTACAGCTTTCCTAAAAAACAAACAAATAAAAAACCCCAGCAAAAACTTTTTAAAATTCCAGATACTTGTTTTTGTGAATTTAAAAATGCTGTGTTACAGCAATTTTTCATGAATTAGTTTTAGAAAGTGAATTTAGTGTGTAGATTACTACATTCATGTGCAAGTTTCTGCAGTCTGTAAAGTTTGCTTATGGACCTCATGTTACTTGTTGTCATTGTTATTTCTTATTGCTATTATTTCTAGTTCCTTGAAGAATAAACAAGAAAACATCCCTGTAGTGCTAGGTACAAAACATATACACAGAGGCCCCATTCTGTACCAGACCTGTGCTAGTGATGTGGGCTAGCTGGATGTGCAGCAGCACGTTAGCACCCAGGCCCAGGGGTTCAGTAACAGCAGCAAACAGGGGAGAAGTGGATAAAATGAAAGATTCAGGTTGCAGGGATGAAGAACACAAACGCAGAGACAAAAACGCCATGGGAGCAGAGGCAGAACAAAGTTTTTTGTGAAGTCCATTCACAATTCTGAACAGTCTGAGAATCCCAAAGGGTTGTTTCTCTGGTTGGATCTTGTGTGTGACTGCAGTTTGTCTACAGAACGGGTGGTTGAATTTGAGGGGACACCCCTGCGCTATGATGGTCCCATTTTATTGTTTTCCCTACTCCAGTGGGTTCTGTCATTATGTTTCTTTAGTCTAGTGCACAGTTGCAGAAAGGGAATTGCAATTTTATGCAGTCTTTGTATGTTAGTGATTTGAATAGTTTTTTCCTGGTTTTTTATTACTTTTAAATTCGTAATAAACCTTCATAACTATCAATAAAAAATATTGTTTAATGAAAAAAAATTTTTTTGGTTATAGTTTCCGTCTTTTATTGTTAACTGACTTTTGACTAGGAACTTTTCAGAAGAAAAAGAGGGTTCAACTAATGGTGGTATATTCCCTCTACAGGATTTATGAACGCATCATTGATCCCCCAGAAACGAATTTGACACCAGAAAGCAATTTATGGCTCGGACAGAGAAACAGGAAACATGGTTTCTTTAAGGTAAGCAGATATGAAATGGCACATGAAGAAGGAAATTAATAAGTAGTTTACAAGATATTTCTGAGTAGTTGTCTTACACTCCTGAAATCTGATTTGTATGGATTTTAGTAGAAACTGTGGACTTGAGATTTGAGGTAGATCCAACACTTAGAGAAACGGGTCTCTTCCTGCAACATAGAGTATCATGGTCACCAACTGCAGTGCCCAGTATTTGGGGCTTTTGTTTGGTTTTCTTGCTTTAGGTTTCATCTACCTGCTGTGCTCTGCCTTGCAACTCCTGGGGACAGAATGAGACTGTGTAGGCAGCGTCAGAGTCTGTTTTTGGCTTTCATCTTTAAACATTCCCAAAACAGCAGCTTTGCTGTGGTCTCCTGGCCAGACGGTGGTGGTCTTAATCACGCTTGGAGGCCATTTCCAGCAGAATACCCTCACCCTTCTGCTGTTTGCCCTGGTGACTCTTCCTTGTTTGCACCTGTCAGCACTGACTTCTAGAGCAGAGAAGGTCGTCTGGTCTGCCATCCTTCCAGCTTTGGCAGACAGGAGCTATTGTATGCAGTGCATTGGCCTTGCTGCAGAATGGTGGATTTTTCTGTTCCTGGAGTGTATCACTGTGTTTCTCAAAAGAGAGTGAATAGTGGGTCACCGAGGTTTTTATATTTCCAAAATTGCAAAGGACAGAGGAATGACCTACAATGTGAAGAGCCCTGTCCTGTATATTTTCTTTCAGCTTTTTTTGTCCCCTGGTGAGGCTATATGATTTTCCGGTCGAGGCTGAACTGCTGAACCAACCAACAAACGAAAACAACCCCCTCTACCTGAAAATTATTTCTTTCACTTTGTAAGCAAGCTACAGGAAAGTTTCTGATATTTGTTTCTGTTCTGGATAACAAACCAGGGTGCAAGTGTTTATCAGTGAAAGAGTCTACAGCGCAGGGATAGGCCAATCTGGCGGTCCTCGGTATTGGCATGGATTTGTTGCCAAGGTGATTTACCACCCACTCAAGTTTCCGTTTGAAGCTGTCAGTTCATAAGACAATTTTACAAGTTGCTGTTTTTCTGAGGACCTCTCCTCGAAGTTCCCAGATTTTAACAAGCTAGGACAATTATTTTATGCTAAAATTATTTACGGTAGGATTGTTGAGCAGCTAACAATTTTAATTGTGAGACAGAGGGTAAAGCTAACTTTTAACTTAAATGACTGTCCAAGGGTTGTTCTGAACCTAGAGTACATTTCATTCTCCAGCAGCTGAGCTGTCACTGTGAATTGAAACTGATAGTATTATTTTATTCTACAGCTGTTGTTTTTTTACCTCAGCTGCTTCCCATAATTCCACAGATGGTAAACATATGTTTATAGCTACATAGGAAAAAAAGAAGTTATATTGGGTTCGCCCGTCTTAAATTCTTATATTATGCAGGCAGTCAGAGCCTCAGAACTCTGGGATATTATATGTTTGTAAATTAATATTTCTATGCGTTAACACTTTGGAAGCAGCAGGGTAGCTAATGATATGCTAATGAGTTGACAGTTTTTATTGATCATAATGAAAGCTGACAAGTGCCTTACTTTGCTTTATGCCTGGTAGAATATTTTACTAACTTTCTTCAGGGCACAAATATAATTGGCTGTATTTTTTTAATCCTGCTTGAGAGTTTCAGAAATCTTATTTTTTTGTGTTACTCATTGCAAAAACTTGGGATTTTGCCAGTTTATAAAGAGTACCTATCTCTTTCCATATATTTACATGCTCAGCAGGACTTCTCTCTCTTTTTCAGAGCAATTTGTTTCACTGTTTTAGCATATAAAAAAAATAGATCTATTTTCCTTAATGTAAACAGAGATCTGCAGGGAAATGAGAGCATTAAAAAAGAATTAGCATTTTTTGTATGTGTGTTGGAGCCATGATAATGTATGAAACAAAGCACTGGATACTGTTCTGAGTATCGGCTTCGCCATTCCAAAATCTTTCTTACTTTAATGATAGTTATTTAAGTGTTGTGTCTCTCCATAAATGAATAGCATTAAAGCACATTTTGGGTCATATTCTCATGCCTATTTTAGATCATAATTCTTTGGTGTATCAGAAAGGGAAGGAAGGGATATGATATTCATAAGTCACTGTGGCCAGGTGCTGCCATTTTTCTTATTTATGCTTTTGTTCCACATCCCTACCTACAGTGATTATTCCACAAGTAACCCTGCTGTGTCTGTGGCCTTGCTAGGGAATGAAGTGCTATATGGCATAAGTTTCTTCATCAACGACCTGGATGAAGAGTTAGAATGTACCCTCAGCAAGTTTGCTGATGACACCAAACTGGGAGGTGTGGTAGATACACCAGAAGGCTGTGCTGCCATTCAGCGTGACCTGGA